TAAGTCGATCCGCAGTACACAGGAAAGACTGAACACTCGACCACACGCACACTACTATGCGATAAAAATCGGACGGTGGGAGGTGACGATGCGAAAATTTGTGTCCTAACAGGATGATCTCGTCGTTGATAAATGGCTGAGACGAGAAGAATGAAGACAGGTTTAGGAAGGATGACATCCAGACTAGATATGCATGCTACACTAGCCATCTCTTTTTAATCAAATCGTCTGTCGCCGATACTTGGTCCTTTTGTTAACGAAAATATGAAGTGTTTTTGGGAGATCCTTCTCCCATACAATACATTTACTGAAGCCAATGTCTCAAGATATAACTTGATGGTATAACGTAATAAAGTTACTGGGTTTACTAGCCTTTAAAAAGGCAATAACAATATTTCGGATGTGGCGAACTAGAAGTGACGAAGGACGCAAAAGGGTATCCTTGAGTACGTGCGTGTATGCATTTTAATGGAGAATGATCAAGTGTTTCCTGGACAGGCAGGTGGTAACTGGGAGGACTGCATGTCACGGGATTCTGTGAGCATATCAAGAAGGCTTGAAACCTTTGCAGATCACAATGATGATTTATAGCATCTCTCCTGCAGTGAACAAATAAGAAATTAATGTATGAGCAATTAGAATCCTCAGATGAATGTTTGCTATCTACTTACCGACAAACTGAAGTACGAACTAGTTGGCCTGCGATATGGTCTTTTGAAATCTCGTCAGTGAGTACTCAGTAAGTACCATCGCTACGGCTTTTATTATTGGATTGCGGCTTTATACCATTGAAGTATTTGAGACTATAAGTACTTCACCAAACATATTAAACAGTACAGGAAATGGAGGCCTACATTACATCAAACGGTAATGTCATACCTACGGTATCCTTTTACGGAAATTTTTCCCACCTAAAGTATCAGTCCTTGCGATCTATATTGTTTATTGCCTAGAAATAACAAGCCATTCTGGATTGCAAGTGAACAGTGCATACAAGAAATGGATATCTTTTTAAGATTTGAAATTAAGGAAGTCGCAAGCTTATTTGGTTGATCTTATTGGACCATGAATTTGATGTTTGTGTTAGGAGACGAAAATGATTTGAAATGAATCCAAAGTCTCAGCTTTAGATGAAGTGCTATCTTACTAAATACGACCTCAAGGCGTAGTTCGAATTCTATTTTTCTTCTAGACCTCTTCGACACAATTTCGAACCAAGTTATTGCTCAGTGAAATTATGTGGTACTAGTAGTATAAGATGGCCTGGAAGAAATGATTTCCACTATTGATTGTCTACTTCGTTACTATCGCTCCCGAATTTATCAGTAGGAGAGTTAAAACAGACCATTGTTACTGAGTCAGTGTTCTGAGAAGCTTTCCAAACTAGTAGCGAAAAATGGCAATTATTAGTTTGATATATTTCTGGAAGTACGTTGATCATTACTGCTAAGTGAATAAATGCCTTTCTTCATCATAACGAATCTCTAATTCCTCAAACTTGGATAGAACCACTGTTCAACTTTTGCATACTCATTTTACGTAAATTTCCATCATCCCTGCTAAATACCGAAATAGCTCTTAGTGAAAGGCACTCCAATAATTCATCTTAAGTATACTCTTAAGAAGTACTGATTAGGATGGCACTCGCATCTGTTTTAGCTTATTTCTCGACTAATGACTATTCAGTAACGATTATTTTTCGGTTTCCGGTTTTCTCGGTTTTTCTTGGTTCTCGATATCTGATTACTTTTGTTTCTCAACCTTGTATTAATTGTTCTGAGGTATGTCTTCTCTCATCTTTTGGAAATCACTACTGCAGGAAGGCAGGATTTTTACTGATTCTCCATATGTGATTCTAAATTATCTGGATAAAATCATTATCGCTAAGAGTGATTAATTTGCTAAAAGAATGTCTCATGCTTTAACAAAGAAGTGAATGCACCGGAACAGAGAACTGCACCAAAGGCCTATTTGTCCCTTACACAGGCAAGAAAGATCAGAAATGACAATTCATCTACAATATAGAGTGCTCAGTAATTTACACATTGGATTTGAATGATTAAAGTTGATATTTCATCCGTTTGAAGTATCCGTAGTTTGACCTACGTCGTATGCTATTCCGTTCACTATTAATGGTAATATGTATTTTTAGCGGACCAGTTTGAAAATAAGCAGTGTAATTGAATGATTAGATATGATTAAAACCGAATTTCCTATCCGAGCTCTCACTAATTTGTTGCATTCATAGGCCTAACTACTATTGAACTCCTGTCAACATCTCCCTTCAAAAGTGCAACATTACTAAACTTTTGATAGGAAATGTTGACGAAGTGTTTTGCGAATCCTGACGGATTTACACTACTTCCCGTTTCCATTATTCAAGAATAACGGATTATTGTTCGTAATAGAACAGTTAATTCCATTGGCATTTTGATATAGGATACTTGTACAGTATTCGGAAATCTTTATCAAACACTTAGCAGTAATTATGCTCAAGAAACTGGGGAAGGGGGGGGGGGGATTAATTACTGAGGACAACCATTAAAACAATCCAAGCAAAACTCAAATTTCCCCTACTTTATATTTCGTGGTTTACGACTCTATTTTTATTGTTATTTCGCTGCTATAAAAGGCCCCATTTTTATGTTTCGCATTTTGCTACTATTTTTGTTACTGAAATACGACCCGATACGAGGATTTTTTGCAATAATAACACTCCGTTTAGTTAAACATCCATTGTAAGACCTTCCAGCCAGTAACTGAATTTATAAATAGAACAGGCTGCAAACAACCCTTTCAATTTTCTATGGACTTCAGTGTATAACATAACTTCTTATATTTTGCCGCACAGTACTGTAAATTTTCATTCTTACAGAAGTTGCATAGGTGAATAAATACAAATAGGAAACCTAATACAGACAACACTTCACACAAACTGGAAGAAAACGTAGTCAACAAATGGCAGAGCAACTGTACTATTACAGATTAACAAAAGCAAATCTTAGCCGACACACAGAAATAATCTATAATAGCATCATCTTAAAAAGCATATATGTTCAAATGCATACAAATCATTTGATGATTCAATGGTCAAAATGAGAAATATTTAGAGCTTTGAAGGAAGTAATATCAATATTCCAGCAGATTTTTGCAAATTCCAAAAATCGTATGCTAATTCTTTCAAGTTTCTGTCCATTTTCCTTATCTTTGCTGTTTACAAATAAACCATACCAAAGTGATTCAGCCATTTAAATATTTAAATGCCCATCGCTTTCCTGGACGAGAACAATTTGACTCATTATAGACATATATTACAAATATAACTTATTGATTTTTTCTTTTTCCGTTTTCCTTCTACTCTCCTCTCCTTCTCCCTTTGCTTGTAGAAGATTCTTCGTTTGTCAGCATCTGAAGGATGCAAATTTATGTTACCTACAGCACTGTCTGATGTCAATAGTCCTTGATGAATGAGTGATCTAGAAAATATCACAACAAATACCTCAAAACACAAATACATGCAGGACATAAACTATACATGTTTGGCTCTAGTGAATATGACAGGAGTGTCACGAGTGAAAGACCACTGAGGTATCTTAGAACGCTTCTTTTTCAGTTTGTCGCCGGTTGAGTCTAAGGTATATCGCGTCCCATTGTTAAATACTACCAGCTTCGACACAGCTCCACATCCTTGAATGCAAGCATCCGCTACCGCATTAACCCTTTCCTAAAAAGCATCCCATTATTATAATGGCTCCCAACTGGTGGTCCACAAACACTAAAATTTGGACCGCGAGGACTATTAAAAATTATGCTAATTTTTTCAAATATTAATATGTTGCTCTAAGCTCGATTAATACGTTGGAAATTCCAATTAAAGTATATTTTCAAATTAAGAGGATTTATTTTTAGACCTGGTGATCCATGCTACAAATAAAACCAAAGTGTTCCCTAGTCAGGAGAAGGCTAGCACCTCTGTGTTATTGGAATATTTGCGCTTTTTTCTCCTCTTGTCACTTCCACTGCTATCAGTAACGAGATTACTATTTGATCATTGGTGATACTGTCCAGTTTCTTTAAAGTCTTATTTCATATTTCAATACAGTTATACATTTGTTCCCTACCAGCAGCAATCCGATTTCATCCGATTTTTTCCACTTTGCGAATTTCCTCACTTATTTGATGATTCTGAAGATAACAGCGAGAACATATGTTTATTGCTAAATTTGTTTATCTCATTCTTTCTTCCCTCCCTGGGAAATTAAGCGGAAAAAAGTAATCTCTCATTTGGAAAATCATTCTAATCCACTTCACGTCCTTTCAATAAAAATGAAATTTCTTTCTGCATTCTATTTTCTCTTTCCGCCACCACAATTTTTTGTTTTCAAAGTGGACTGACTTGAGGCTTCCATTCTTATATACAAATACTTCACGCTGTATTTGAATAATCCTTACCAAGCAATACTCTTGCATTACTTTTGGGCAAAACTGCATAAGGCGAAGATGAGAGCCATGTGGAAATTCAGAAATATTTCTCTGATATCAAAGTGGGTTAAGTGCCCTGTTATAACAGTGAGGAAATGCGAAAAGGAAGCTTAGCAAGAATGACGTATTTCATACCATAGATCTGTATGATTGATCATTTGGTGGAAAAAGAGACAATCTGAATTATTAAATTTATTTTGTGTCTCAGTAGGCTGTATGCTTGTAAGCATCAGAAAGTTTGCTCTCCATAACAACGAATAAGAGGACACTTGCAGCAGGGGTATCGTAAAATGTGGAACATTTAACTGTTTTAAAGTGTTCAGGTTGACGTGATACATGAAACTAAACATACTAGATTTTTTTTTTTTGAAATTTGTAATGAGAAATGGATAAGCGACAAACCGATATCATGTTGAGAGTATCATTTTCCAAATGATTGTTGAGCCTTTCCTAAAAAGTTTTTACCACTAAAAAATCTTTTGAAACGGAAACATTTCTAGGATTTGTCCAATACAGTTAATACGATCAAAGCTCGAATATTACTAATACGAAGTGGGACCCTACCTGCACTTTGTCAGCGATACCACTAATTTGTGATTCGATATGCTCCAATCGAGTGTATAGCAATGAGGGTGTGTTCCAGGTAGGTGTGCCTGGCGATGAGGCCATCAAACGTAGTATGTCGATATCTAACTTAATTCTGTTCATTTCACATTTAATTATTTCCAATTCTCGAGTCACAACCTCATGTCTTGGATCATCTATAATGAGGTTGTTTCGAATGCGAGTCGTAGCTAATGAAAAGTTGATCATGGATTACTCATCCCGTCCTTTCTTTTAGACCGATGAAGTGAAGTGATCAAAACTCGAAAAAATGAATGGAAGGATAAAAATGTAGAAATCATGGTAATTTTAATGAAAGTACTGCGCAGTTGTTCCAGCTGCGACGAAATATATGAAGTGAAGTAGCCTAGAAAAGCAATAGAGATAACTACAGCGAAGAGTAGCAATATCAGAGCAATTTGCACGCTACAGCTTTGCTGTCTCACGATTACTGTCTCTGCATTTTGCCGTGCTCTGAAAACGTTTATGAAAAGTTTAGTTCAATACAACCAAGTGTCTCAGCCTTATGGTAAGATCTTTCAAATCCCCTGCAAAGCATAGTTACAAAAGTATGTGGCAACCTTTCTCATATTGTTCGTTGCACACAGCAAAACAGTCCAGTTCAATTTTGTCAGAAATTTTGGAAATCTGAAGACAGAAGTGCTCAGATAATTTAAGAAAAAAGAAAAAGACTAGCTTTGAGAATAACTTTGGTCTTCCTTTTCGAACACTTGCAGTAGGTAAATCAAGATCGGGTATGTCGGAATCATCCGAATCAAGCAATAAACCATCTTTCTGCTTCATTCCCGATGCTATTCTATCGCTGCTTTGTACAAAGACCTTCCGGTTTCATAGAAGATTGAGTCTGTCTGTAAGAAGGTAATATAACCAAAGTATATAGAAATGTAAACAAAATCAATAGAAATTCTCAAACAGAAATGTAAACATGAAAAGTCTTTGAGCATCCAAAAAATCAAGATAATTTACTCCATAATAACCGCTGAAACAAAGAAGTACTCCGAAGACTAATGACAGGTACAACTTTGAGTTTGCTCGTTTTTGAACTTCCGCGGAATTGGTCACAACCTTAAAAAAAGGCGATTTTTAAAACATGTCTCTGGTAACTGTTACGAACTACAAGCTTACTTCAAAGCTGATTCCATTCTTCAGGTAAAAAAGAAAAAAAAAAAGACGATCAAACAGTAACTGTCCCTATTTTAAACACAATCAAGCTTGTAAAATAAAAGTGGGATTTACCTCGACTTCACATAAGCAATAACTCTAAGGAAATTCACTACTTTTAAGCCGAACTGCAATCAGTAAAAGTGAAATCCATCCGGTGATATGAAGAATTCCACATTTCACTCCGCTAGTAAAAATATTGAAAAATTGATCGTGTGAGAGAGAGAGAGGGAGGAATTTCCAATGTGACATTCAAGATAAGGCATCAGAAAAGTACAGAAGGGGAAAACTAGCTGAATGCAAGTGAGTAATTAATTAGCTAAATGCCAATACTTTTCACTATTTTTACTCATTACTCCGGACCACGCAGAACAGGGGTCTTTTAGAAAAATCAAGAAAAAACGCACGAAAGATTATGAAAAATAAACGTTATCCTCAATAAATTCGATATAAAAGCTGTAAAGCTGATGAATTAATCCTAACGAAATCAAAAAATATGCAAAGAGTAAAAGTGAAATGGCAAAGTGGAAGGCAGAACATCGGGGAGAGCTTAGGCATATCGAATAAGATGCAAAGGAAGGAAGACCCATCTTCCCCAAAGCATATGGCCAAGCGTCAGTATTCAATAAATAGTTTATCAATCTTCTCAAAACTCAAGCTATCTACTACATTCCCTGTTTAGAAAACAATGTTACAAACCACACAACTTCAACCAATTCCTTATGAAATAGCTAACATCCTAACTCCATATAGGCCTATGTGTCATCGTAAGTGTGAAAAAAGTGCTCAATGAAGTCAACATAGGAATAAATCATTCTATATTATTATTCGAGATTATATTATTCGACGGTGTTAATACCATCACTAATGAACAAGGCACCACTGAATGTCTAAACATCAGAATTTATGCCAACTTCCCCAAATTCTAATATACTGTTTCTGATAAATTAAAATTTGACTTCTGCGTCTCCAGCTAAAGTGTTCTGGCATTGTCCTGAAATACCACACTTGATTTTGGGGAAAAAATGAAACTTGCTTCACAAAAGTAGGTAGTTCGCAATACTTTGCAAAAAAAGTTGTGGTTGCAAAACAATTAGTCTGAACGTTTTACTCCCCAAATATACTGACAGGAAACACCTTTTGCTACTGGCTCTAAATGGATCTTTAAATAATAAGGGAAAATCATAAAAAAAGACTCAAAATCAACAACAATGGAGGCAAACTTCTGAGAAAAAACTGCAATTCTTCGCAAAGAACGCACCACGATGAAAACGCAGAATGCATCTAAACGAACGCATCACGCCTTTCTATTTTTTGCTTTTACACTTCCCCAGAACACAAAATCCAGTTAGAAGAGTTTCACATTTTAATAAGGCAAACGAACCCAACATAAAAGAATGTGCTACAACAGGAAGACAAAGGCAGAGTGGTGGTCTGATTTCACCTATCCGGTGGAAAGTGTATGCGCAAAAAGTCGCTGTGAATAATCCGCAAAATATATGAATCCAAGTTTCGGGCAAACCGCAAAGACTGGATTCGACCAAAGCTACAACACTTAAAATACCGTTCGTTTTGTAGTTTTCTCGGGAACTTTTCAGGAGAATACAGGTCCCAAAATAGAGAATTTAAAGGGAAGGATGTGGAAGAAAAGGGAGTAGCAGGCGAATAACTGGTATGAAATGAACCGCCGAAATAAGGGCAGGCATAGGTAGCAGCACAGAACAATAAAATATGAGACAAAAATTATGCGTAAATATGAAATAACGTATAGTGGAAAATAGCAGCACAGAACAATAAAATATGAGACAAAAATTATGCGTAAATATGAAATAACGTATAGTGGAAAAAATCAAGCAATTTCTCTGAAATCGATCAGGTCAGCGATACCCACGATTCGCGTCATCACAGAATGTAATAATCCACAAGCCGCCGTAGTGATCCCTAGCGCAGCCTGTAATC